AGACGGGGGGGGGGGAGACAGATGTTGTCCACATTTTAAACAATACAGATATAATGACAAAACAACTATTGCCCCCAAAATTGCCTAATGTAAAGGGATGCACAATATCAGTTTGAGTCACCAACATTAACGTAAGTAAAAACTTATACTTATAAAGGGCTAATTCCAATAACTTAAAACAAAGAAAATAAAAATGTCACTTTAATCGTAACATGTTACTCTACGTAAGAGGGTTGAGCCGTGACAAACGCGGACTTTCATCTCAGCAAGGCGGTTGCCAAAAGGAAGTGTCGGCCACGCTATCGTGTCCTAATAGGGATTTCGTGGTGGATAAACAGTTAAATAGATCATGGGCATCCCTTGTAACGGGATATGACACATGTGGCGTCACCTCAAATGACACTTTGGTCGGAGTTCCGTCCAATTTCACAGAAGTTTAGAATGACGAAGGAAAGATGTGTATAACCCAAAATATAAGTCATCACAGACTGCGGAACTCAAATGTATATGGACATTGTTTCCAGGCCGACAAAACAGGTGTGATTATAAAACATTATTATCATAAAAAGTAGATCGTTATTCATCGTCTTGTATCTAGATAGCCAATTTGTAAAGAAAGTAACTCGCAGCATCTTTTTAAATGTTTACCTAATTCCTTCCTAGCTGTACCTTTTTTAATATAAATGCTATATCTCAAACATATTAAACAAACGCAAGCACGCTGATACGAGGATCCTATATTTGCGTTCTACTACCGTCTATCACATTCAACTGAAAGTGAAAGTAATATAAAAAATAACACAACAATTCAAACACAATACGCGTCGTCTTACCTTATAAATCTTCTTTATAACCAAAAATGTATGTTGGTCAACGCACAGACAAGACCTATATGCAAACTAAATCACGATAAGTCGTCTAGTCATGCTAATAGAGACGGTGAGAAAAAAACATTAACTCTTGTAAAGAACCTTAGAGTTGACAAGGTCATCGGTGGTAGAACATGTCAAGCTATTGTCCTGTCTTTGAGATCAGAAAAAACACTGTCATTGACACATGAAGTTGATAGTGGCACAAAATTTAATGTGCCACAAGTCGGCAGTCGAAATGAAAGAAGCGGGGGTGGGTCATCCATCAAATTATAATTACAGTTGGTACATTGTATATATTTTATACTACCTTAATACACATTTCTCAATTGATTCTCTTAATTTTGTCTACTGCCCTTCACATACACCCTAGTTTGTACTAGCTCAAAGGGGTAGTAGTCTGAATATAAATAATCTTTAAAACCCCAATCTATTGCTGAAAACGCCCTTTCAATAAATTTGACATTGTGTTTCGAAACATGAAGGATACCGTATTTTGTTCATTTGCAACTCAGCCATAGTGCTCTTTTTTCCTTTCAGCTGCAGTGAAAACGAGCAGAAAGTTATTTTCTTTTTTTACTGACAATGTTTTACACCTTTTGATATCTAATCAATGATCCAATAAAAAACACACACCTCCCTACAGAGCAAAAGATGTTGTGATTAGTCCACAATTTTTTGGTCCAGAGCTTCGTCGAGAAATCTACGTAACCCGAAGTAACCCGATGTATCCCGACAAGACCCGATATATCTATGTCTATATACAAAGTGACTATCATATCACTAAGCATATGTCCTCAATCATAATTAATTTGCAATTGTTACATTTTCATTTTCTAATTTCATATAAGAAAGAAGGGAATTCACTCACAAATCCAACCACAAATAAGACAAGCGTTGGGTCTTGTTATAGCTCTCAAGTGTGAAAAACGATAACATCATATTAAGTCAAAAGCTGCAACATTAAAAATGTACAGTTTTTTAACAGATAAAGTATACACAACATATTCGCTTGAAAATATTAAAGTTTCGTGAACATGATAAAAATCGGAACTAAAAAAAATACAGACCGACCGAAACATGACAACCAAGAAAAGAAAATTGGTTGATAAACTCTAATTGGCAGTTTTGAAGACTGTGATGAACACTGATAAACAGCCATGAATGAAATAACAAGACAAATAGGGGGTTATAAATGACCAGAGAACACGACTCTTTTCGCCCACGATGACCAAGGCAAGGCCACGTTCACACTGGCTACATTTATTTGCAACCAAGATTGGTTCTTTGCCAGTTTAGAGTCAGACTAATACTTTTTCCCCATGGTCAGGAGTGTCCTGATTGCTTATTGCGTTTTTATGTTGGGTTCACAGCATGTAGTCATTGTAACATCAACTCTGAAACGCTAAGTTTTTGCTTAATCGGAGTCTAAGGAGTAACATTAACGTAATGCCTTCTGTCCAACTTATTTCTCTTGGTTCAAAGCCAATTACAATTGCCAAAAATGCATCTTTGACCGTGCTGAGAACGAAACCGTAAATGAAGGTAGTATTTTAGCAGCCAGTTTGTTTAGACCTTTTTAAGACCAGTGCCAACGTAAAATGGAGTTTCAGCCCAGTGGGACATCTATTTAAACCGCCTCCCACACAACAGAACTACAATCAGACTTACTGCCGTTATTAAAACATAGGCCTATACCAGAAAGAAATTATTAGTAATACGGTCTTGAAGAGATGGCCTTGGACGTTAAACAAGTGATGATTCAAGTTTGTTCTTGTCCGAATAGCCTGTAAATAATAACTAGTGTGAATGTTAACATTCACTCCCCTAACCCCCCCCCCCCACCCCCCCGTATCACCATTAGTTGTCTAGGCATGTAGAGTCGTACAGGGCACTGTAGTAAAACACTGGTTACGAAGATCTGCTTACTTTTTTGAATATTACAATTCCTAGCTTGAAATAAAGCCAATATTGCTGATCACCGATGTCAAAGTAAGCAGTAACTCCTGAGTGTTTATTGGTGTTCCAAAATAAAACGTACAGATTGGGTCAAAAAATGTGTAGATATACATAATAATTAAGACCTTTCGTGAACAAACCTATTTTGCTATTTCACTTTACCTGACACCAAAACACGAAAGGCGGAACAGGTGCGATGCAGTTTGAGTATAATAAATGCGGTGTGTATGCGCCAAATCTATCAACTGAAGTCTTCCTGTGTGTATGTGTGACAGTTCAAAACAAAGAAGACATTTGAATCTCAGTCCCCACTAAAAATAGTCTACAGCATAATTCAGTCTATATATATTTTGTAATGAAAGCGCACGTATGTATTAAAACATATGAAAGAAAGTTACCTAACCCTCATAACAAATTTGAACGTACACATTCTTTCAAACAAAGGAAAAGGGAAATATGATTAACATAGATACACCGTGTTCAGAATGGAAAATCTACAAATAAATACTCTAAACAGTAAACACTATTCTCTTAAGTCATACCTCCAGCCATAACCGTATCCAGGCATATTCCTTCCGCACGCGCGACCCCCAACGAAGCAGCAAGAACCTCTGAAACGCCAAGTCCTTTCAGATCTTCGCTAGTCCTACTCTCACCAGGTTTACGTTACCCAAATAATGTTTCCTTTTCCTTGTCGAGGCGGCTAATCATGTCGCATACATAAGTTGCATTTAAATTGGTACTTTGTCACTATGGGGAAAGTGGCCGGGCGTGCAACTTGATGGACTGATAAAGAGGCCGCGAGAGGGGGCGCGTTAGATCTCCTGATAGGTGGGCGCAGAGGGCTTTTAAACCTGTAAGAGGCCACTAAGGGTGAAGTTCAAGGACATCACGAAAATGATCTTAGTTTCATAGTAGAGCGATGGGGAAAGCTAGGATGACTTAATGAAGAGGTTAAAATGAGGTTTAGAGTGATGGCGTGAAAGTGAGGCTGAAAAGCGGGAGGCGCAGACTCTTGGATCGAGAGGCCACATTAGGTTTTTCATTATAGACTTTTAGGGGTTCATAAAGGAAATAGGAAAGTGATACGATTCTCGATCAGAACAAAAAGTGAACGAGGGTTAGCCTGGTAAATTACAACAATCCCTAGCATGATCGTGTATTAAACCATATATCACCGAGCCAATGACGAGTTTGATAAAAAAAAATGTGCGTGTGTGTTGGAGGTGGGGGCGGTTGATAAAATACAATATTTTGCTAAATGCTTTTCTCCTCAAACATAAAACGGCCTCTTTTACTACCATACGTAAGGCACATTGATGGCACAATGACAACTCTTGTTTAATTTCTCTAGTTATACGGCAATGAGTCGTTCTTTTCAATGGGGAAAAATTGTGAATTTTACAGATAGTGTACTTTTAAGTCACAAATTCTCAAAATAAGAACATTGTGATAGCAGCAAAATTAAAAAGCAGGCTACACAATAGTTCTGATTAATACAATAAAAGCACCACAAATGCTATATGGAGAAATATCATTTTTGACGAACCAAAATAACGTATCTGAAAGATTGATAATTTTCCCCCCATTGAGAAGATCGAATCACTACCGTTACAATTTTTTTCTTTGGAGTTAGACGAGTGGAAAAGGGGCACCTCAAAAGCTAAGATGTCTCCTCTAGATCCGGCCTTCTACATGCCCATTCGTTATAACCTCTTGTGATATTTTGAAAAGCCAGACTGCGGCCCACTCTAGTTCAGTTAGCAGTCTGTTTAAGTAGGCTAATGGCACGGTATTCTGCATACTAATTTTTACCACAACTGTCTGTACCCGTAGTAGACTTTATGTGTCAGCAATGAATCAATCCTCCCTGGCACGCGTCGAAATAGACCGATATAAATATTGAGGACAATTACGAGGCCGAAGTTCTAAATTATAAGAACAACGTTTATGTTGTAAAAAGCCCGTTTATACTTATCTACGATATACTCTTGTTTATTCGAGTAACAAATTGACTGGCAAAATACAACCTCGATTTATAATGATTTTGAACGAGCGGAGAGACAGTAGGCGGAATACAAATTTCAACATATTTTGCGGTTGTTATTCCTGCAAAACATGACCATTCAAAATATGAGATGATTTAATGATTCCATTAAAAATTTTGCTCACCTTTTGTTTTTATCTTCCTCTGGTATACTTATATGTCAAACCGCAGTTTTCAGCCGCTCCTCCGAATTCTGTTCAACTGAAAGCAGAATGAAAAATCTTGTAGACGCGTGGACACTTTCAAAACAATTACTGATAACGAAAGCAAAAGAAAAAAAAACAGACGGAAAAAACAAAACGGATCCAGGTGTGTTCTTGTAGATCTAAAATGAAAGTTGGCGTATGACTTCCTATCTGCCCACAACAGTAATTGTATGTTTATCTGTGATAAGTAAGAAGTTACAAGTGTGTGTGTGTGTGTGTGTGTGTGGGGGGGGGGGGGGGGGGGTCGGACAAATGTATGCTATGTGATATTAATTTCAATACAGTACTGATATGAGGCAACTAAGGGATCACAGCAGCAATAACGCCGCCAGGTATTGTACCACCAACGGGATTAACCTCATTTAAGTTCAATGTTAGCTATGGCAACATTAAGCCAAACAAGCCACCACTATACTTCACACGAAAAAAATGACGCTCACCCACTCTGTAGCGGCTTGCATTAGGGGGGGGGGAATATCACGCGTGAGATAAAATCCAACGAAAAATTTAACAATACTTCGTGATAAGATACGAGTGAAACACTTTCATGTTGTAGCGCTACGCCATTAAGAAAGATACGAGATCAAGATTGCTTAATTGTACTTTTCGTGACTTATTAAATCATAAAGACTTAACGTATTAAGATGTGTCATTCTCTTCATTCATTGTGACATTAAATACAGGGAAGTACGTTCAGGTGCAGGTGTCATTTAATAAGTCTGTTGGGACCGTAATATAAAGCCTTTTTTGAACCCGTTCATTTTCGATACCGGTTCGGTTCTTAAACACGTCATCGGAAGACCGAAATTGTTACCTTGGGTTTTAGAAACCGGAAACAATGTTAGGTATATTTGTAGCTCTTAGGATATTGGGAATGATCTTCATCATTTGCCCAACATACTTGTGTAGTCTGTCATAGGCAAGATATATTTTGTTTGTTGCATACGTTGTTAAAATACCCCCTCATCTCTTAGAACGGAATAAAATTCTATGAATAAGAAACACTTATTTGATATCTTTCGTATGTCCTTTGTCTTAAGTTTGCATAATTCAAACTAAAGAAAATACCCGCCGTTCTCCAACATGTAAATAGAACACTCTTTACCAATCTACAGGCCTAATAATACAAATTACAATATCTAAAATGACCCTGTCCGAAAATGACCCATAATTAATTGAAACACTGACCGCTGCTTATGTGCAGCGCATAAGAAGCACACCATTAATAAACCTTATATTGTCTCATTTTCAATGTGAACAATAAAAGGTCCAGTTTTGATTAAAATCTTCGCACTTTGGAATCGCCTTCTCTTATCTTATCATCAAATGTGATAATCGATGACCAATGACGTACGTCATTTAATGGACTAATAATAGGTTTAATCACTGGGTTAGATCACAGAGATTCACATTTTGAAATAAGGGCAGAGCATCTACAGAGAAGAACAGGGTCGGTTTTAGGCCGTCTTCTGGGTCTTCCGGAAGACGGTCAGATTTTCATGTTTACATTGACGGGTATCTAATTTTTTCTGTCGGAAGGCCGTCAAAAATAGAGGATGGATCAATAAAGATAATTTGGAAGCCTGTCACAAAACATCTCTGGATCCGCCCCTGAAGAACACAAGACACCCAACAAAGAAGGATATTTTATAACTACTGACAGAAAAAGCTTGATACAAAGCAGCTCCCAGATGCCATTAAATGACAGAAATAGATATCACGGGAAGACATAACATTGATCTCTGTGTGTTAGTAATTATTTATATATGATACAGTAATATAACACGACAACGCAACATTAGCGGGCATATCAATGACAACAATCTAAATACCGTTACCGTGCAATGTTACAGCAACGGATTCCAATATTCCATCATGGTGTAATACTGGAAATGCAACGTACAGCAAAACGTATCTAATTACAATTACGTGCAATACGAGAGAAAATGATGTCATAACACCACATACCAAAGCTTTGAAGGAGACAGTAGAGTTAAGCTTTCTTACGTCAAAGTCAATTAAACTGATATAAATTTTTGCGGTTCACATTTTACCTAGCTACACTATACACATCATTATTACAATATCATATTATAATTATTTTGGTCCCTCATGGCATCCCTGTGTCGGTAAAAGGAATCATTCTTTTTCCTAAAGTGATCATGATTTAAAAGTAGCCTTACACAAGAAAGCCACGCATTGCACCAGGTGTAGTGTAGATTCACGTGATGGGACACGGCCACACTATAATAATATGGCATTGCGATATAATGAATAACGATTATACCTTATGAGATATGTTGCCCAGAGCATCCTCATCACGAAACTGAACTGTGCAAAGTTATTTTGTATGCCATTTTTCTTACGTTTTGCAGTATTTTTTTATCCATAAAAGACAGTTATACGTGTCATTGCCTTGATCTTTATGATGCACCGATTTCAATAAATGTCACAAATTGTGTTGATTTAGTATGCGACCATTCGATGGCGTTGGTTTTATTGGCGTTTCGTTGGAAAATCATTGAACACAAACAATCAGAGAGTCGTCCATAGTATCTTTCAATTTTTACTAACTCATTTTCTTTTTTCAGTGATCTCGGAGTAAATCCTAATGTTAAATATAAATCAAATAGTCATTTCCATTTGAGTAAAAAGAAACTATTAACATTGCAAAATAACAACTTCTGTCACCGAATCGCATTAGATATAATTCTTTCGTGATTAATTTTCTCTTTCACCCATTCCAGACAACTGAACCTTAACACCATTACCTGACTCACGATAAATTTTTCAAAACTCAAAAGAGTAATTATATACTAAATCGAAAAATTACCATAAACGGAAACCGCTGCGCTAGTTCAGGAAATAACTTTTGGAATAGTATAACCCCTCAGAAGGTATGCCACTGGGGAAAATCGTTAGCCCCAGGATGGAGAATATTGTTGGGTATATGCTCACGTGTAGCTCTCTAACGTCCCAAAGGCAATTTTATATCGTACAGCATTTTCCCATTTGAGTAGGAAACTGTTTTGCAAATCCGTATTCTTAGAGCTGAAGAGTCCTGTTTACACGTGTTAAGATCTGGAGCGACCTTGTTTCGCTTCAAAAATGTTGCATCAAAATGCAGGTTTGATTTGCATATAGTTTTGAGCAATGATACAGTGTAGTTGCCGATTGATCGCTTTACCTGAAGCAGATGGGCCACGGAACCAAGACAGAACAGATATTTAGATAATAAGCATCAAAAAATTATATTGCAAAATTTTTGATTTTGGTCGGCATACACTGTTATCTAAATTGCATTAAGGGGTCTGACGTATTGTGTTTCTGCTATAATCTGGTATGTAGAAACGACTCCCGTCGTCATATGAAAGTATTTGCATTGAACCGCACCAGATCCGGTCTCTCAGAGCAAGGAGACGTGTAGACGGAACAGAGAATGGAAGCTGATCTGCTATAAGCCAACTAGGACTTAATTCGGTGAGATCGATTCTATTTCGTATAAAGGCAGGTTCGAATAAAGCATTGGGACAAGACCAGACATTCCCTTCTGTTGTTTACATCATACCAATCTTCCTTCAGTGTCTGCTGATATTATCGTCTGCTCTTTTTTATTTTTACGTACTAGTCATGATTTCTATGTTAATTAGAGGGTCAAATGCATAAAAAACAGCAGAAAACAATCTCGAAATCGGGTGCCTGGGGAGATTGGGATATCAAAGGGCAATAATAGTTGCATTACAACACGCAGTCAAATTCTGTGTTTGATAGAGGGTGTTAGCCATGTTTGTACTATTAAAATAGTAGCCGAGTTGGATTCTACTCTGTGAGCTTACTCTCAGAGCGTAAATCATTTTTAACCTTCGGTGCATTCAAGGTTCCCAGGTGGCAGAATTTAATGTGAATTTCTTTTTTTAATATTAATCTTCTAACATTCTGCAAACCGACACCATTTCCTCGACAATGTCTTGTAACGTTATCTTCTATTCTAGCTTGTAGTAGCTTGTTAGCGCTCTGTATAGTAACAAGTATATAAATTACTATTCTGATTGTGCTTACTTAGGGTGCATTCCCAGAGATTAAGATCGATCCAGAGATTTAGATTTAGATCGACCTAACTCCCTCGGGGTCCACGCTAAATTGCAGTCAGCCGAGCGCGCACCATAGTTAATTACCCCCTTACAGCTTTTAGTAGGCGGGACAGACGCTTAAGCCGGCTAAGTTGACAGTAATCTAATGAGACTCCCCACAGGGATAGATCGATCTAAAATCTATGGGAATGGGGTCTTATATTATGCATCCATCATAAACTTAAACAATAAAGCAGATATTCTATGTGTGAGACAAACCCGCCCTCTTTTCTGGAGTACGTCCAGTCACCTTTCTGTTTAACAATAAGGCCGTATTCAGAACAGTGGGCTAACTAGTCCGTGGGTCAAATATGGCCGACCCACTTGAATACTTCCCTACGGGGAATCTATTCAGTGTTTATTAGCGGATTAGACGGCACGCTTTTCAGTGGGTCGCCATATTTGACCCTCGGACTAGTTAGCCCACTGTTCTGAATGAGACCAATGAGCCCTGTGTCAAACAAAACCTGAAGTATGCCCAGTCAGCTTTTTGTTTAAAGAATAAGTCATATATGTAAACATGTCAGAAGTTTCAGCCTCCAGGCGTAAGAGGACACATGCCCCTGTGCACGGCATTGGATCTTAACTACTAGGTTAATGTCTTTAAAAGACAAATATAAGTAGGGCGTTCCCAACTGCCAAATGTAAAGACAAGACACTTAAAAGGTGACAGTATACGCATTACCTATCTACCCAAAAATCGTGATACGTTTTTAAACACTGTTGACTGTATTAGTACTGGGGCCTGTTTCCACGAAAAAATCTAAAAACCGAAAACGTGTCTGAACTTTAAGACAATTTTTGTCCTCTTTGACATCTGAAAGATAGGTAGTAGTTCAATCACATGAAACAGGAGAAACACTAGCTTACGACAGGAGAAACACTGGCTTAAGACAAATACTAAAGACGAACATGGATTTATGTTGAACTGAAGTCGGCTATATTTTGAGTGCTAAAGTTTAGACCGATTTTAGGACCAATCCCGTTTTGTGGCAGCAGGCCCTACTTTTACAAAACTACTCGTACCTCGTGTTTCTTTACGTCAACAATGTGTACCTGCCCCACCCTGCGTGCAGAGTTGCTGTGAATACATGTCGCAATCAACCTATAAATATCAAATGCCGTCACATAATGGCTTAATTAAATAAATATAAAGATTTTTTGTGTTGTGATTTTTACATTATCAACTATCATATGCACATCAGTTTAATAACGCTACCTAAGTCTGGTTATTTACTCATGCTTGGTTTGGCCAGGGAATTATATCGGGATATAATTCCCTGGTTTGGCCTTCAGTAAGATTGACGAGTCACGTACTAAATGGCGCCTTTTTTTATAGACATTTCAATATAAAATCAAGAAACTCGCCGGATGAGTGCCACTAAAGATTTGATGTAGCAACGAAATGGTGGTTATTTTCATTAAATCACGCATTTAAAAAAAGGCTAAATGAAGCCATATGAACATCTTTTTTCAAATATTACAAGGTACAGCATGTTCAAAAATATAGAAATATCAGATAAAACATGGCGGCTTCCGTCTCACATCAGTTCAGATGATAATCACAATTATGTAACACGTGAACGTCCATCAGCGGATGAAAGCAAGTAATAATACGGTATGAATAACTCTCGTGATATCCAACGCGATGGTCTGGGGTGTCCACTTTCTGGTCAGTCAGCAATAATGTGGGCTATGTCCACGGTCGTTAGAGTCCAGTGAAGGTGACGTAAAGAGCGACAGAACATTCAGGGGCGGGCATGGGCGAGTTTTAGTAGTACGCGGTATTGGACTATTGTATCTCTTCTTTAAAAAAGAAAGATCTGGCTAACGTACGTCTTAAATCAATAGTCACTTTCATAGCCTACTACGGATAAATCTGGATTCTTGGCTCAAAGATGACTAAAATGTTAGTCTCTAAGTTAAGGCTTAGTAAAATGATTTTGTGAAATAAGTCAAAACTGTATATGCCATTGTGCATGTACCTCACAGATAAATTGCACGATTTGACCACTTAATTCAATGACCACAGCGATCGTTAATTACTCTCTTAGGAAAGAGGCACGCACCAAATACAAATCCATAGTAACTCTGACATCAATGCTCTTTCTACAAAATCAGTGTTTGGGTAACCCAATATGGAAGCTTATAGTTATGGAGTAGGTTTCGGATTATAACTACATTGTTCTCCAGGAATCGTACTGATATAAATCTAAGGTCTATATGATCAATGTGTCCCTTGGTAAAAAAAATCTTTAGTCTGGCGCCCAGGGTTGCCGCATAGTAACTCTATTATCAGTGAATATGTCTCAAATATACTGTATGTTAACATTATGACATTCAATCAAACCCGGATGACATTCCACAGTGACTCTGTACGCTGAGAATTAGAGTCAAGTACAAACTAGTGTGTTTTAAAATGAAATCAATAGTCAGATGACAACTATAGGCCAAAAACTCAGAAAACTAGGGTAAATGCGAGAATTAATCACAGTATTAATAACCTAGACGTGTCACTCACCCTATTATCCAAAGTTCCTTAATCGCAATGAAGGATCTATCTAGGATATTTTTTTCGATATCCGGGGTGTCCTCAGTGATGCCTTCTACAGAGTCCTAACTAATGGTACTGTTTATACTGTTAACGCGGTACGCACTCTGTCCTATTAGCTATATGTCTTTAACACACCTTTACCAGGACCTCAGTGACCACACCATCAATCAAATGATATTTACCCATGCAAATAGGCCCTGTGTTTGCCAACGTTTGTTAACAGGGGGCCCCGAAGTGTATTTTGATAATGCATATTTCATATTTCTCAGGCGGCAGCACTCGCATTGGTATGTTTCGCTTACTTATACATGTGCAGGGCAACTGTGTACATGACGCTTATGACAGAGATCTGAATAGTGATATTTCTCACCTTGATACCTGAATGACGCCACGATACACTGACCGGGTTTCTATTGTTTCCCACTAGGCCCCACATCTGGATGATAATGTGTTTTTCCCACCTCCCATTAGATTCTAATGGCAGTAATTCAAAGATGAGTATCTTTCTCGTTTTTGTTGCGCAGTGATTTAGGTTGAAGTAATGAAAACGTATGTAATTTTCATTACACGTTTTCAGTAGTGGGAAAATAGATAAGATAATAATATGGCCTTGTCTGTAGCGCCTTCACTTAACAGATCGCTTCCGCTGGTAGAGATAGCATGAAAAATCCTTGTTGAAAGGTACGGGCGGGGGGGGGGGGGGGGGGGACTCAACACCGTAGAGGTGAGGGCTTTGTTTCGGCATACTGTTTGATGTCTGCATTGACTTAAGTTACATTGCTTAGACATTGCTGAAAACATTCCACGTTCAACCATTATGGGCATTAAAAAAGCATAGACTTTTCCACCCGAAATGTTATCTTGTTGAAGCCCCCGCAATCTCGCAATCTAGCATCTACATACGAACCCCCTTGTGTATGACATAAGCATTATTCTAAAATGTCTACATTTTCTTATCTTGATATCTTTTAAGACTTTTGCACAAATTGCGTTGATGAAAAAAATAATAAAACATAGTGACGAGCTGTCATTTGCTTGATTAAGATGTTAGCATGCAAATCGCCTAGAAGCTACTGTTTTTCACGTCCCGGAGAGACGCCATATTAATGCTGTTTTTTTTTTTTTTTTGATAGAGTATTTTGCCAAGTATTATGTCATTACCGTTCTGGTCTTGACACTATCTGAGTGTCGCTTAAGGTTACCGATTGTTTTAAGTTTAGAAATCTACTCGTGGCATCCCAAAACAATGAGTCACAGAACAACAAGAAGATAACAAATGCGATACCACTAGTATCATCTTGTAGGCTATTAATGTGTTATTCTGCATGAGATATTTTAAATTATACTGTTTCTATGAATCTTGAATGAATACCAAATAATACTTTTTAGAATATAATACCCCCCCCCCCAGTGCACGATACAGTACAAATGTTGAAGTTTTTAAATTATTTTAAATTTAATACTAGTAGTTAAGTTCTCTTCAAAACAATAGGTAGGTAAAACTTATATAAAATATGTCAAACTTATCAATAATAGATGGATTTATGAAAAGAAAGTTGAGGCGATTTTATATGTTAGCACGCATTCGCTCAGGCACTACACTACACACACCCACACACGCAATTACGCCAAATACAAATACCGCAAACATTATAGTTGTCCTCACGTTATAAAATACCCAGCACACACAAAGTAAATCTACGCGTGAACTGATATTTCAAACCAGATTATTATCCTTTGGCTTCCAAATTCTTGCGGGTGTCCAGAAATAGGACTTCTATGTCAATCTTAGTCACCTAGAGTGTCAGTTGTGGCTAAGTCGCGATCTTATCAATGTTTTTCCTTATATCCCTGTGAGGTATGTACTATTACACCATGTGCGTGTTTGGTCACGGTAGCCCAGCTTTGCGCATGCGCAAATTAACACGTGTCTCTCTCTCTCTCTCTTCCAAGTGTTGCTTTTGTTTTCTTACATGTTTGACTCTATTTTGCACTTTTTTTCTTAATCAAATCTTCATTTGGATATCATAAAGAAAAATAGCTACAACAAAACTTGTAACCTAATAATGGCTTAGTGAAACAGTCCCCTATCGAAGTTAAAGCCTACCATAACACAAGATAAATAATTTAATTACCTCTGCTATTCTCCTCTGTCTTACGTGATTTTTTTATCACAACAGCAATCCCAGCACTTTTTACAAGTCGTATTATTAGTACAATTTTAACAAAAGGGGGCACCTATGCTAGGCCTTATATTCAAAGATAATGAAAATTTTAATATTGCTAGCTGAAAGCATTTATGCTTTTTCCCAAACTTCCATTTGTTTTACTCTTCTTATAGATGAATTTTATTTTCAATTTTCGTTGTCTGGGATGTGCATAGCGCACTGTTTACTTTACATGTTTAAAATTCTCTTTTAACTCTTTTAAAACATGCTTGTCATCTACAGACCTTCCAAATGGATGATAATGCGCACTACGTATTCATATTTGACCAAAGTCTTCTTTAAATTTTCCCTACCATTTAATTTCGCCATGTGTATACATTTTATTACATTTTATTACAGAAATGTCTATCCTGTATAATCATTAGACTTTCACTATCGTCGCTTCTGTTTCTAAATTTCCTGACCACCATCTTCACCATTAAAAGTACAAGGAACACATATTTACCGCGTATGAATCAATACTCGCAGTAAGCATTTAACGAGAATTTATCGAATCCTACGTGCTAATCACAGCTACTATATAAATGTCCCATTTACTTACCTGCGCGATGTAAGAGTACAGTATGCACGGTATAAGGTTACGTTTAAACAGGAACGAAAAACACAGTTCTGTTCAAACATGGATCAAATTAAGACTGGATTAAAGACCTAAACGCGCCAGTTTTAGTCATTAAACGCCCATACAGAATATGCTAGCTTTAGACTACTGCTGCACAGTGGATTTCACGAATTTGTTATTTATTTATTAATTCATATGATGACGCCATTTGATGCGTTTTAATGACATTTTGTCTTAATCACTTGTGTTTGAACGCATCTCGAACTCCTACAAGTAAGAGATAAACACACAGGCTAACATTGTAAAATATTGACTAGAAAGGTGCAACCAGGCACGCCTGTACAAATGGAACGCTAACGCTAATTGCGCTTGGAGATTTAGTTAATCCATGAATTGCCTGTGTAAGCAATGATGTGGAGAAGAAGCAAATCTAATATAGATGAGAGGGATTAAATAGTTTTATATATAATATCTTTTTAATGTTTTAAATTGAAAGGTTATTTATTTAAAAGAACTTTTACGAATTTTAACTTAAATATCACAGGTTTTAGTCTCTCATAACCCTTAGAAGTGTGGGTTCGGTTTTATTTTTAAACGTGACGTAAATAAAATCATTATCATCATCGTTATTATAATCTAAACAAGTCTACCTGTGTTTTCAGTTCAAGACGGAGGCGACGCGATCAACCTCACACCTCCTCAAAATTTGCATAATTTTAGTCACAATTACTCAATCTTTCTAACGGTCACCTTCTTTTCTGGATGTACAAATAAAAAAAGTGTATTTTTCTACTCACTGCAACTTTGTCATGACACATGTTTGTCACAATGAATTAATTATAACCCACATAAATACGCCGACTTAAAACGTGTTTGTATCTTGCTGCTAGGATAGATTCCTCAATCATAAGCTAAAATCAAAGCCATTGTTCTCCAATATTACGGATTCTGTCGAGATGTCTTCTTAAGGGGAATGAAGCTACAGGTGTTAATACAGCATCTACCTGAGGTGTGCGATCACTCCATCTTGTTTAACAAAAATTGATGAAATTCTTTACCGGATAGAATATCATTGGCTTTTTTCATTAACAGTATTTCTTAAAGGCATTATATTAAGGGTTTTATATTAAGGGTACTGAGAAAGAGAGAGGTAGGAAAGGCACTTGGTTCTTGACACACGATATATCTAAACAAAGAGTTGGGATATTATGTGTTGAAGTAGTTACCATTCTCGTTATCACAACACCTGGGAAAGGTGTTCACTTCGAGTCGAGATTTAAGAACTATTTAAGCACTATGCATATGTGCTTGTGTGTACTGTACAACCACATGTACACGAACCGACAAATAATACACAAAAATGTACAGACGAGATTCCTAGTTGTTATGCCCTATAGAAAGTCTCAATTTTCAGATTTGCAGATTCTCTTTTTTATACGACAAATTTGAATCTACGCACAAATTCACGCAAGCACATGTGAGCGCGCTACTTATTTGCGTCTCTACGGTAAGGCTGGGACACACTTACCTTGGCGCCGTCTGATAAGGAGTGGGTATCTGATGCCATGCCATAGCTAGATTTGCGTTAGATGTTTTGTAGGGGTACAGTTTCTGCGTTTGTTGTAGACACCCTTTTCTACAGGTGCAACCTTGCACGCTCACAAACATACACACACGCACACACACTTATATCAAATGTCAAAGTTCCATGAGTACAATTCTCTCATATAATAGGCGTCCTACTTACAATGCAATGGCGAGGTCAATTTTCATATTCTGCGCTCCGTTTTGAAAGCCACGCTTCGTACAGAATAGAATATATTGACAAGACGAACACTTGTCAATAACATATAACTTATGTGTGGAATTCAAGAGGGTCAGATATTAAGCGTCACGCGCAGAAAAATGGCAAGAATGCAGAAATATCATTTGAACCATGTCAAGCATTTATGAAAAAGATCTATATACATTTGCCATATCAGAGTTTGTCAAAATATGCCTAACTGTACAGACAAATGCACAAGGCAATACTGGAAAAGCTTCCTTCTGTATTAATCAAGAGCATATATTTTTGTCTAGCTAAGAACTGTTTTGTGCAGCTTCTCTACCGATCTGATACCAAATTAGACCCTATGGATTTCAACAAAATGAAGCGCTCTATCAGTATTGCTACGTAGGCCTACATGTAAGATCCAGTTTCGTTATTTGGACAAGAGCCAGTACTATTAGCAATGTAAGACGTTACCTTTTTCTTTGTCGTAACTCCAAGTCAACACCGAACAGCTCAATTTTTTTTATGAAAAATGATTTAATTACAGCCGTACCCAGTCATATGCGACTACCTACGCAAGGAAAAAATAGTTCCTATTCAGTGAACTCTTGGACTGTAATACTTTAAAAGCATTGTGTGTTAATTTAGCAGAGAGAAAAAAAATGAGTTAGACTTAGCTCTGAGATACATCACCATGCACTATGATATAATTCAAGACTATTCGTATAACATCCTCTTTCAGTCTACATGCGTCTTTTCGCTCTGCCCCACAGGCAGATAAAAAAAAACTTAGCGTGAATAACAAAAACTCTTACACCAAACATCGCTGGACAGTAACAGACTATTTGACATTGTTCAAACTAAGAAGAGTCGATGTCGATAAATTGTATAGACAGAAGAAATACGTACCCCCCAGTAAAACCTATCCCCAGTGTGCTCTCACAACGTCTTCACGTTATACCGATGTATTAATTGACACGTGCTAGCCACCCGGTAGGTTTAAGTCGACGTCGTAGCCCGTTTGTCTGAAATCTGCCTTTAGCTTACAGGGATTGGTAAAATAAGTCAATGATATATTTAGCGACCTCTTAAGCGTAACGTTATCGATCGCAATATTTTGATATGTTATATTATTTAAAGCGTGCTGGTGAGTTTACATTCAAAATAGCCCGACTACTTTCAGATTTCAATTCTTTTCTATTAATAGGTTATTTTAGCGACGAAAGGTGAGGCATTTTTGCATTTAATGATGCTCCCCCCCCCCCCCCACTGGAAATATACCCCTCCCCTCTCTCTTTCCAACTCGTGGGTTAAACAGTGGTTTATCGGCGATATTTTGACAACAAATTCTTACCTGTTTGCAATTCTGTGATTTCGCATATAAGATATTACACTACTGTATGCCAACGCACGATTTTCACTCCACTCTGTGTTCTTTGTCAGGCCCTAGATCTACTGTAGTCTGTGTTAAAGGACGTATTCACAGTCATAATACTGATACAATCAACAAACACGTGAAAATGCTGTATACCACAGAAAGATGATAACGTCAGAAACAATTCCATCTCTCAGACAAGGAAGACAATCCGAGACGTTTATTCTGGAATTCAATTTTCTCTCGCTGCAGGGGGATCGGTTGTAGCCTACATCTCATTTGTAATTATTTGGGCCTTGTACAATTCATTCTTGCAATTCTCCTGATCCCTTTTTTATCAGCACACAACTTACAACTTAATGTCATAGACGGATGACCACTTTCAGCTGTAATACTTCATATTCTATATCCAATTTCACCTCTCTATACTTTCTTTATTTACTCGCCGGGGAACTCGTGACTACAACACTATAGGTATAATAAACACGGCCTTTTGGGTGGATTTTCTCCGAGTCAAAACCTCGACAAAATGTGCCTTTCGGTAACTGGTCAACCGGACTGTTCTGCTTGTAATTCAGTGAACACGATTAAATGCCTGAATACCGTTTGTTTGTTTTATAAAACACGGTTGAGTTCTGACAGTGACCAACGCAAAACGCCGCTTTCGTGACAGAGTCGATAGCACATCTTTATGAAATAATGTAATTGAAACCTTTGGGTTATACCTGTCAATAGCCGACAAAAAACTTCATAATCAGAGCAAAGAGAGCTTATACATACTTTTTACCAACGTTATCTTATTTCATAAAACGTAAAGGGAGGGGTGGGTTTAAGTAGGGTGGGTGGGTTTAAGTAGGTGAGGTGGGTTGAAGTTGGAGGGTTGTAGGTTTGAAGTAGGGTGAGGTGGGTTGAAGTAGGTGAGGTGGGTTGAAGTTGGAGGGTTGTAGGGTTGAAGTAGGGTGAGGTGGGTTGAAGTAGG